AGGGTGCGGGCGGCCCTCAGACAGAAGTGATGCAAGGGCCCTGCGCCGCGCGGCACACAGTCGAGATTTCACTTGTGTGCAGTTGTGATGGTGAGGAGGGGCCTGCGAGAGAAGGGGATGCTAGGCACTCACAGCCTGAATGTCCTGCCCTTTTGCATGCCTGTCAGATCCTTACCAAGGTCACCTGCTCCTAGCAGGCCAAGATGCAGGAGGCAGAAATGCACAGGGAGAACCTACAGGGAGTTCTAGGCTTAAGCAGAGCTAACCTTGAAGATCCTTGTGTTCTGCTACTTCCACTGAAAATCACCAAAAGACAAAAATTTTTAGGTTTCCTAAAGAACCCTGTAGCCATACCACACAATTTCCAAGATATCTTCCCCATGTCAAGTTCTCCACCAAAAACCCTCTGAACCAGGGACTCTCCTGAAGGCCTCTGAATCCATGTATCTACCTTTTCCCAGTAGAGGTTGGGAGCATCTTGCATTTGACAGTAAGCTGCTATGGGATTTGTCTTAACGAGCTCCATGACACAATTTGATCATCTGTCCTGAAATGGAACCACAGCAGCAGAGAAAGTCTGTGGAAGTCTGTCTACGAGGTGGCTGCTGCTTGTTTACACTCTGACATCTGGTTTCTGGAGGTCGAGGCCCCTCTAGAAAAAGCTGTGTGTCTGCTGGTTTGACTCCAAAAGCTGAGGCGTGGTGTTGATGACACTGTGTGCTCTATTCTCTGGCCCAAGAACACCTTTGTGCTCTCCTGGTAGGCAGAGGAGTGGGCTAGTAGGTCGCCACTGACATGGAAGGGCTGTGATTTGCAGGCGCTTACCTTCAACCACAGAACTCATGCTTCCTATGTTCTCATCGCTGACGGCTGAGAGTCTCTCCATCACTTGGATTTGCCTAGAAAGCTTCTCTAACAGATTTCTTGCCACAAATGGGGTTTTGCTTGAGAAAACAATTTGCTGATAAAACAAACAAAACCACTGCATCAGTGAGGTTATTGTCAGTACAGTGTTCTTCACTCAAACTCATCTTTCCTAATGTAGCAGTAATTAAACTCAGTGTTTTTGTTCCAGTTTGATAATGTTCCTCATTCCATGCCAGTTAAAACATCTGATGAAATCAGACATGTTTTCACTGCTTTAAACTTTTTTATGCTTGCATAAGTTCTGAATTTTTCTTAATAGTAGAGCTGCAAGGTTATTATAAAGTTGCCTTTACTTTTATGTACAGAAAATCTGTAAATCCTCTTTGAAATTTGGAGGGCTTATTTAGGTTGCCTATCTGTGTGTGAGCAGAA